AATAAGTTCACAAAATAATTCTTCATTTCTAGGAAGACATAATTATTTGATTTTATTTTATTATTCATATTTCTATGCCGCCCACTCTCCAAGGATTCTGGGCGGCTTACACCAAAGACAGTATACTAAATAGCATATTGCCCCCAACAATCTGGGTCCTCATTTTACCCACCTCAGAAGGCTGAGTCAACCTTGAGCCGGTGAGATTTGATCTGCTGATCTGCTGAACTAGCAGTCAGCTGAAGTAGCTGCAGTACTGCACTCTAACCACTGCGCCACCTCGGCTCATCACATGCCATTTCTATTCATAAAATCCAATTCCACTCTAGCCATACAGCCTACTTGGCAGACAGGTGAAACTGTATTGTCCTGACTACCTTTCCTGGACAACAAAAATATGAGTCACCACTAGATGGAAGCAAAGAGTGTGATTGTTTTTGTTTCATATAGTCACTCCCACTTTGATATCATCCAGATTTTGCGACCCACTTCTATAGGCCTAATGGATGGGTATAGACCAGGGGTGAAATCCAGCAAGTTCTGACAGGTTCTGGAGAACCGGTAGCAGAAATTTTGAGTAGTTTGGAGAACTGGAAAATGCCACCTCTGGGTGGCCCCAGAGTGGGGTGGGAATGGAGATTTTGCAGTATTCTTCCCCTGCCACGCCCACCAAGCCACACCACGCCTACCAAGCCACGCCCACAGAACCGATAGTAAAAAAAAAATGGATTTCACCACTGGTATAGACTGTCCACACCATGCTTTACAGCAGCAGTCACTAACTGGTGGTCCGTGGACCACTGGTGGTCCACGAGAAAATTTTGGTGGTCCACAGAAAATTTATTTGCATTTTTTATATTGCACTAAATCAGGAGTCCTCAAACTATGGTCCCTGGGACAGATACGTGCAATGAGCATTTGTGTTGCTGCAGAGAATCTCCCCCTTCGGGGTCTTTTTGTGTGGGTCAGAGGGGGACAGAAATTCCAACTTGGGGTCTCCTTCAGCCTCCTGGTGCGGGGCTTTGGGTGAAGGCGAGAGGGAAGTGCTGCTGGTGGCAAAGAACCGGAGGACCTTGTTCCAGTGGGACTGCATCATGGCCTCAAACTGGTTAACCATCTCAGCATGCTGAGGCTCCAGGTGCCTGTACCTGGCCTTGAACTCCCGCAGGTCTTCCTTCTGCTTGGAAAGCCTATGCTCATAGTCCTCAGTGAGGTGCTTCTACTGAGCCTCCTTCTTGGTGAGATCCAATTTGAACTGAGTTGTTTTGCCAACTCTTTCTCATGGTGCTGCTTAGCTCCCACAACTGCTTCCTGTTGGAGCCCTAAGGAGCCCGGGCGGGGAGGCGAGGAGTGACTGGGAAGGGAGGGGTGAGTAGAGGCTGATGTGAGTGACATCAAGTTGGCCACATCCACCCAGTCACATGACCACCTACGCACGCCCACCCAGTTGGTCATTAGGCAAATCTTATTAGTGGTCTGTGGGATTTAAAATTATGAATTTAGTGGTCCCTGAGGTCCAAAAGGTTGCTGAACCCTGCTTTACAAGGATGCTGCAATGGTTGTAAGTGTGAAAAACGGTCATAAGTCACTGTTTTCAGTGCCATTGTAACTTCAAATGGTCACTAAATGAATGTTTGTAGGTCGAGGACTACCTGCATATGGTCACTAGGAGTCAAAAACACCTTAATGGCACATAATTAATCAGATCCACAGAAGTTACTGGGAGATATTCCAATCTGGCTCAGTTTGCTATTTCTAGTCCCTCTCTTTCCCGCCATTGTATTTAAATAAATATTAATCACTTTTGAACAGCTTGGGGCCCTTTGCAGTGCACAGGACTCATTTGTTCTGTCCCCGTCTCACACACGCACACAAACAGTCAGCCAGGGCTTAAATAAAGCTTGCAGATAATAAATTCCTTCGATAACAGGATTGGCAGCAACCCAGTAGCTGCTTGTCAAGAACTTTACTCACAGAGGGAGGTGTTCCTCCTCCGTCAGATAAACCAAAACAAATACACAAAGCCACAGAATTGTCAAGTCCAGTCCATATTAAATCCAAGGCAGGTAGATAACGTAGTTTCAGAGATACAATGCAACTTGCTAGTTGTTTAGTTTTGTCCGTCACAGAGCCTGAATGGGCACCACACCCCATTTTATCCCCTGTGGGGTGTGGTCCAGTGACTCAGCTTAATCTCTGGCACGCCTCCTTTTCTGCTGCGTGCGCTTGTCTCTCCAACGCTGGCGTGGATCCAGCCAAGACTTATCTCCGTCACTGTCCAAATGCAACTGCTCGGCGATACCTGGCTCCTGGCCAATCTCTTCTCCTTCGGGAGACACCTGAGGCATTGCCAGAGAGGAGGGTCCTGGAGAGGGAGGCCTGGCCAACTCCTCTCCTTCACTTTTGGAGCCTTCTCCCTCCGATAAGATGGGCTCAGGGGTCGGAGTCACAACATCATTGGAAAATAGATAATGATTAGATTTTTGTGAAGTTCCAAACCAGAACAGGTCTGCTTGCTCAATTCTAGAGAAAAGACAATCTGTTCTGTATTAAGTCATGACCTACCCAAACTTTGATTGGATCTGATACTCACTAGTACCCTTTCTCTGTATTTCTCAGTGACTATAAAAACACATTTGTACGCCAGGCTGATATAAAATGCTAAGTTGCATAGAGCCCCTCCCCGTTTAACAAATAAGTAAATGCAGGTTTTTGAGACTCTGATGTAATTGAGTGTGTTGTGTACAGTTTCATAATTCTATTGCAATTTTGCAATGCTTGCTGATTGAATGCAGCTTCACTTGGTACTTTGGTTTGATTTGTAGGAAGCTCAGTGAAAACAGCAAAATGTTGATGGATAACAAACAAAACACACAGCTAGTCAAATGTAACAAAAATATTCATTTCACCAGGCAATTATGAAAAACAAGAACTCGAGCTTGAGACTGATGAAGGCATGGTCTAGATCAGTAGTGGGTTTCAAATACCGGTGCTACCAGTTCACTATCAGTAGCGTGTGGGATGCGCATGCTCGCTTTGTGAGCGTGCAGAGCTTCTGCATATGTGCAGAGCATTTTTGATGACGTCTGGGTGGGTGGGGGGAGTCTCCCGCCTCCGCCACTACCAGTTCGCCCAAACTGGGTCGAACCAGGAAAAATCCACCAGTAGTCTAGATTTATCAGTTCGAATGAATGTAAATGCCTATGGACAGTTGAATTTTATCCAAGAGCATTAAGGGAACTTGCTGATGGTTTGGCCATAGCTTTATGCATCATCTTTGAGAAATCCCAAGGAACTAATGAAGAACCAGATAACTGGACAAGAACAACTGTGTTCACAATGGTAGAAAAGGACTGGAAGCACTACAGATCTCAAAGCAGATTCTAAAGAGATGGAGCTTGAAAACAATGTGATGATTAATAGAAATAAATGCCGATTTGTCATGAAGAATTCTTGCCAGACTGACCTTATCTCATATTTTTGACTGGGCAACTTCCTTAATAGATTGCACAATTGCTGCGGACTTTTTTGTTTGACAAACTAAATCATGATGTTTTGATTAATAAATTAGTTAAATGTGGCCGAATGGCTTTGCAATGGGGCTACATCTCTTGTTCAAAGTATCATAGTCAAATTTTACTCATCACTAGTTCTTCATCAGAGACAGATTGACTACATTACCACAATATTTGGTAGGACCTTGGATGAATATGGAGAGGAAGCAGTAATCAGGTTTGTAAATGACACGTAATTAATGTGGATGGCTAGTGTCCTAAAAGATAGAAAAAAGAAAACCAAATAGTTCATCAGTAGAACCAGTTATCCAGAGAACTGAACACATTCATTGGGATGCATTTTATTAAAGGCTAGGGATCCATCTGTCTGGGATGCTTCAGAGTTGGATTCCTGCCCTGAGTAGGAGGTTGGATTCAGTGGCCTAAGTGCTCTTTACCAACTCTATGATTTTTTAGGCTTTTCTAAACAGAAAATCCAAAACTTCTATCGGATTCTCAATCAGGGCAGCCAGAAAATCTGCAAGCAATAATCCTTCCCTGCAATTAGCTGCTGACATCTGACATCTGATACTCAGAGAAGAAACAAATAATCTCCAAAATGGAAATGTTTTATACGTTTTCTTTGGCCACGATTGTTGCCTTTTCAACTCCAAAGTGGAGGGGATGGGGGGGAGGGCAGAGAGGAAGGATTTGTTTTTTCAGGATTTTGAAAAATCTATCATTATTTTTAATACAATTTGATTTGCTAAATTACATTCTCCTTTTCTTTCTGTGACATGAATTACATCTCTTAAAGGATGTCTTACAACAGAGAAATGCTTATAGGAGAAGGGGCTTCATTAGCTGCAGTTGTCATACCATGAAAGTTATGGGGTGGGGTCGAGTGACATTGTCCCCACCTCTGGAAAACCTTCTCGAGGGGAGGCAGGCCTCCACTCTCCTAGCCTTTTGAAGGAGTCTGAAAATCAGGCTCTGCCAACTCACTTGGAGTTCACTGAGCAGCACGTAACCCAAAGGTTGGGTTTTTTTTTTTTTTTAAAAAAAGTCTTTATTTACATTTATAGTTAAAAAGAAGACAAAAAGCAAACAGAAGAAAGAACAAGACAACAAAACAAAAAACATAAAAGAATATAAACAATACCTTAGTAAACTAATATTTAGTGTAAACCTATACAATAGATTCATAATACAGTCTGGGGGAGACAGAACAACCTATTTTGAACTTATAAACCAATTAGGTCTATCCGACCTCACTTTATATATGCAGTAAAGTATTTTCAATATATACAACACCTGTTTATATTAATCTGACTGGCTATCGAAAAGAAGACAACAACCCAAAGGTTGGTTGATGCCTTGATGGCCCGCCTCCCATCTTTTAATTTTTATCTTAATTTATTCTTGTTTTTGTCTGGCTCTTTTTTTTAATGTATTTTATATGGTTTTTAGATGTTTTGTGTTTTTTAATTGTTCACTTACACAGAGTCACTTTGTAATGGGCAGCATCTAAATTCAACAAATAAATAAATAAGCACAAGGAGAAAATTATTGTGCTGAGATTTCTACTCATGTCAAATGAGCATGCTGAAAATCTTCTTATAGATCTTGCCTATTATTTATTGTTTCGATTTATTTATTGTTTCGATTTATTTATTGTTTCGATTTATATGCCGCCCTTCTCCGGAAACTCAGGGCGGCTTACAATGTGTTAAGCAATAGCCTTCATACTTTTGTTTATACTTGCTTAGTAGGGCTTTCGGCCCCCTCTAAGTGGTTAGGGCTGCACATGTAGATTAGGGAACAGCACTAATATGCACTTCATTCTTTCCATTCTTAGTTTAGTTTATTCACACACATTCAGGCAAGCAGGAAAGCCTAATTTATATCATGTATGATAGAAAACTTATAATTCAACAGAAAAACAACCAACTGTTGCATATGATGGAGCTGGGAAAATGTAATGCTTTGGAAACTGACCATCACATTTTTGAGCTGAGAAACTGGGTGCTCCAATTTCTTTTTTTTCCCCCAGGAAAATATATGATATATTAAATGACTGGGTTCTGACAGGTTCTGGAGAAGCAATAGCGGAAATTTTCAGTAGTTTGGAGAACTGGCAAATACCACTTCTGGCTGGCCCCAGAGTGGGGTGAGAATGGAGATTTTGCAGTATCCTTCCCCTGGAGTGGGGTGGGAATGGAGATTTTGCAGTATTCTTCCCCTGCCACACCCACCAAGCCATGCCCACCAAGCCACACCCACAGAACCGATAGTAAAAAAATTTGGATTTTACCACTGCATTAGACCCCTTCTTTTTACCAAAACCAGGCACGATGTTGACAAATTGGCGATTGTATTTCCTGAGCCTCTCGCCCCACCCAGTTTTCTTCTTCTTCTTTTCTTGCTTAGCAACCTTTGGGGTCTGGCCTTTCACTTTGCCAGCATGAGCCAGGGAATCATGGACCTTCCCACCAAGCATGTGTGCAGTAAAGTCATATGTTGTAAAGTCACTGATGCCACATTGACCAATGACAGAATCATTTTCCAAGGGCCTATGGAGATTCTGAGGCAGCCAGGTCATGGTTGTCCCAAAGGTGCTTTTTCAAGAGGCAACTGGACATTTTCCAAGGGGATCCCACCCAGAAGAATCACTTGATGCTCAAGGGTGATGTCCTCCAGGAATTTGATCTGACCCTTAAAATGAGCTACTGTTTCATGTCCAGATACCTCAAGGGTGTGCAGATTCTGAGCACGAACGAAAAGTTCATGGTTTCACCTGCCTCATGCTGAGCCAAGATGGAGGCCGGAGAGAAGAGAAACCACTGCTGCCTCATGCCAATGTGGAAAGGTGCTTCAACTTCTAAAGGGGAAGGAGACGTTTCCCAACAATTTCATGAACAAGACTCCTGGTATCACTACTGGAAAAGTCAAATGGGAGAAATTCTTGGTTGATGCCTTTGAAATTTAATAGAAACAAAGCAGGAGGTCACTGGACATATTGCACAGAGAAAGGCAAGATATTTAGATACACTGGCACCATGCAGCTAAATAAATGCAAGAGTACTTCCTTCTCTCATGAGAACTTCTCTGGAGTGTTCTTCTCCTTTGAGAGAATTTCTAAAGCAAATCCTCTTTTATCAAACTGAATGAGAAAACACAAAGATTTTCTACTATTGATAGAAGAGAATATTTTTACATCAGTGCATTGATGTACACAGAATAACAATCCACTGATGATGTTATCTAGTTTGGTAATGAAACGTCTGCAAGAAAATAACCAAGCTCAGAAAGCACCAAGGATCCCACAGAATTTCTAGAGCTTACAGTCACTTTAAGCATTACAAACAGTGGTGGGTGTCTCCCGGTTCGGCCTGGTTCTCCCGGGCCGGTAGTGATGATGATATGACATCACCGGACCAGTTCTCATCATCATGGTCTTTGTACCGCCAATTAATTTTTTTCAAGCTGCCCTTGTTATGCAAATAACAAAAGAGAAAAACAGAATAGCCTCTTATGCAAGGCAAGGATAATATGGCACCCCTCTAAATTAGGACAGAAAGACTGGGATTTTTAGTTAAGAAATGTAGTGTGCAAAAAAAAATTTCATCGAAAATGAGAATTGAAAAAAAATAGTGTTCGGTGTTTTAAGTTTGGCATCAAACTCCGTGTTCAGAAAGTTCATAATTCTGCACAAAGTACAAACTGGAATACAATATTTCATCAATAATCCCCACCTCTTTATTGGAGGAAATATATTTAAGGCTGTAATTTTCTAAAATATTGCTACCTGGCTTCATCTCACTGTGGTTAAGAATTCAACCACAGTCTCATTGAATTCACTGTATATCTCACTATATATTCTTCCACATGCCCCATTCTATTCATCTAGTGGCTATTTTGCAGCTGCAGCATTTCCATTCTGGGATCAACATCTGTCATGACTGACTTGGCATTACAGGCCCTGACCACTATTGGTGGTACGAAAGAGTTAAATTAAATGGAAGATGATGTGGAATCATATTAATATGCAATTTCAAAACTGAGCTGGAGGAGCTTCAGGTGTTGCTTTTCTATTTGTGTGGTTTATACACCGGCAATACCATTGAATTTAGCAGAATATAAGCAATAGGCCTAACTTTATCCTCCACAGTAGTCCAGACATGAGGGTGGGTGAGGAAATGGTTGGGGGATCAGTGATTACAGTCCTAATATCCTGTAGCACTGAAAGATTTAGACACCGCCCTGCTCTGGACCAGGCAACCCCTAATATCAGCCTCTTTGTCTGCCATGTGGACAGTCTCTCGTTCTCTGAAGGAAGCCAGTCCTTTACATTCCATTGTGTATGTTTCCATTTGTTTAACAATTTTGAACATTTCAGCAATCACAAAGACACAAAGAGGTTTCCGGATTTCCCCCACCCCAAACTTTAAGTCCTGGCAGGACATGCAGTGGACAGAAAGATAACAGCAAGTGAGGGAGGGGGGAGCAAAAGAGACTCGCTTCAACTAAGGCTTCTGTGTCTTGATTTTAAACAGTAAAAGAATAGAAGGCAGTGGTCTCTGAAAGACCAAAGAAGGTAATTTTCTATTAATAGCACCATTTACAAGCGCTGCTGAAAGAAGTTAGACAGAGCTGAATCTCCAAGTCTTGTCATTTTCAGATTGTATCAGTGCTGTCTGGGATGCAGAATTCCTTGTTCCACAGACATTGGGCCTAAGAGCTTTCTAAATGTTCTCGCATGGAATGGACACATTTTTAATGCTATGAGATCATTCTGATTGCTGGACTGTGCTGAGAACTGATTTAAGAAATGGACATCTAGAGGGATGGCAGCCTATGGAAGCCTGCCTTCTGATTTAGATCAACCTGTGGAGATTTTTCCCGTCTGACTCCACTATCTAGGTAGGTCCGATATTGAAGAGACTAGAGTTTTCTAGGCATGGGGGGAAATGTGAGTTTGTCTTCTTTACACCTATAAACAGGGGTGGCTTGCTGGGGGTTTGCAGGGGTTTGGGAGGACCTCTAGCTAAGATTCTGTGCAGTTCGGAGAACCCCCAAATCCCACTCCTGGCTGGCCCCACCCACCCTGTCCCGCCCCTCCCAGGAGTCCCCACGCAGCCCATTTTGGATGGGCATGCACGGAGGCTCGGGGAGGGCAAAAAACAGGCCTACTGGAAGTTTGGGAAGGCCTGAAATGGGCCTGTTTCTGGCCTCCGGAGGGCCTCCAGAGCCTGGGGAGGGTGAAAACACCCTCCCGGAGGCTTGAAGACAGCCTCCAGAGCCTGGGGAGGGCAAAAACACCCCCTGCCGTGGTGCAGGAGGCCCACTAGGCCACACCCAAACATGGCCATGGCCACCCAGCAACTGGGCAGAGAACCCCTTGGTAAAATTTTTGAAGCCCACCCCTGTCTATAAACATAACAGAGGTTCTAGTTTCTTTTGCATCTGCCTCTCCTATTCTTTATTACAACAAGAACTTTATTATGGGATGATCTTTCCAGAGAGCCTGATATGCTGCAAAATGCTATTATCCTTAGTCATTGGACAAGTCCTTATGTGATTTGTATAAAACAATTTTCAACTAGAGCAAGTGGATGAATTTGTGTAACTTGGCAGAATGTTTATTAAAGATGGGAAAACAGATGGAGAAATGCTAGTAGAAATCTAATGGTAGTATGTAGTCTAACAGAAGGAAGGAATGTTTGTATAAAGAAATAAAACTGGTTATGTATAATAGCATTGTTATCATTTAATAAGAAAATTAGCATTCGATATATCAGAGAAAATAACAAAAAGTGGGTGTCAGGTTTTGATGCTATCTCAAGTGGGAATGACACAGTGGGAACGGGATACTTAAGAATGCAAAGTAAGTACAAAAATAAATGGCAACTATATGAGTAAAGTATATCAAAATGGTTTGATCATACAGGGAGATTATGAACTAAGAATGAATAGTTAAACAAATCAGCTGAAGAAGAATGAGTGGGTTAAGAAAATTGAAAAGATGATAGTTAGAAGTAATAGATGAGCTCAGTGGTGAAATCCAAAAATTTTTATTACTGGTTCTGTGGGCGTGGCTTGGTAGGCATGGCATGTCTTGGTAGGCTGGCAGGGGAAGGATACGGCAAAATCTCCATTCCCACCCCACTCTGAGGCCAGCCAGAGGTGGTATTTGCCAGTTCTCTGAACTACTCAAAATTTCCGCTACCGGTTCTTCAGAACCTGTCAGAACCTGCTGGATTTCACCCCTGGATGAGTTCCTCCATAAGAGGCAAATAACAATGCATGAAGTGATGGATGGTGGAAAAATCCATAAAGGTAGATGAAAGGAAGTAAAAGTTCTTTGCAAAAATGGAAAGGTATGGAGAGGTTTTATGAATGGTGCTAGTGTAAATTAGATCTTTCCTTTTTTCCCCCTTCAATTATGTCCAGTTCTTGGAGACTGCGTGAACAAGTCCCTGCAGTTTCCCCAACAAGGTTTTTCAGAAGTGCTTTGTCTTCCTAGGACTGAAATAGAGTGATGATCACCCAACTGGTTTTGTGCCTAAGGAGGGTCTAAAACGCACATTGCCACAGAACAAGGATTACATGTACTTAAAAATGGGTTGTTGGAGTGAGGAAAACTAAATTTCACCAGAGGCAAGGAAGGAGCCTCTTGCTCCAGCCTCTTGCTAGACCTTCTTATGAAAAGAATAGGAAGGAAGTAGGGGCATCTAGGGACAACAGTCTTGGCATGACAGATTCCAGAAGTGGTGGAGCCAGTGATTCCAATGATTCCTGTTTGGCTGAAGCATATCCAGCAGGCCCCCAGGACTCCTTGCTTGTATCCATTCAACTCTGAAATTCATCCATCCAGTCCTAAGCAGAGGTACGATTAAAGATCCAACAGTAAGGATCTGAGCTTTGCATGTTGAGATTTGCCAAAAAACAAGCCAAGGAAAGAACAGACTCTAATGAGTAAGATGCGTCAGCAGCACATTTGGGTGGAGGCTCAGTCTGGCCAATTTATTGGCCTCATTCCCTGGGAGAAAACACTGAGAACAACTTCTATGTGTATCATGCTTAGAACTCTAGATTCCACCTCTCCTATCTTTTCGCATGGATTCTTTGCTTATTGGGTTGCCAGACTTGACCTGTGCCAAATCTTGGACCATATTTACCATTGTCATCTTAAAATATAAGTAATAAATAGTATTTTTTCTAAAACTTCTTCCTATACTTTGCCTATCACAAGGCTGTAATCAGGATCCAGCTTTCTCTCCTGTGATTTTTTAGATTTTTAGATTTAGATTTTATTTGATTTATATACTGCCCTACTCCCAAAGGACTCAGGGCGGTGAACAGCCACAGATAAAACACATAGATACAAAATTTAAAAGCAAAGTAAAACCGAATTAAACAATTTTGGCCCAACACAGATTTAAAACACCCCAATAATTTAAAACCGATTAAAATTTACATTTTAAAAAAGGGAAAAAGGGAAAAGATTAGGCCAGGCCAGCCTGATGGAATAAAAAAATCTTAAGAGCGTGGTGGAAGGTGCGCAGATCCGGTATCCTCCTTATCTCCAGGGGGAGCTCATTCCAGATAGTAGGTGCCCCCACAGAGAAGGCTCTCCCCCTGGGGGCCGCTAGTCAACATTGTTTGGCCAACAGCACCCGGAGGAGCCCCTCTCTATGAGAGCATACCGGCCGGTGGGAGGCTATTGGTGGCAGCAGGCGGTCCCGTAGGTAACCAGGTCCTAAGCCATGGAGCGCTCTAAAGGTGGTAACCAAAACCTTGAAGCGCACCTGGAAGACCACCGGGAGCCAGTGCAGCTCGTGCAGGAGAGGTGTTACATGGGAACGCCATGTCGCTCCCATAACCACCCACGCAGCCGCACTCTGCGCCAGTTGGAGCCTCCGGGTGCTCCTCAAGGGGAGCCCCATGTAGAGAGCATTGCAATAGTCCAGGCGGGAAGTGACGAGGGCATGAGTGACTGTGAGTAAGGAGTCCCAATCCAGAAACTGGCGAATCAGGCGAACCTGATGAAAAATCCCCCCAGTCACGGCCATCAAATGCTCTTCTAAAGACAGCCATGAATCCAGGAGGACACCCAAGTTGCGAGCCCTCTCCATGGGGGCCAGCGATTTGCCCCCAATAGTCAGTGATGGCGCCAACTGACTATATCAGGACATCGGAAACCACAGCCACTCGGTCTTGGATGGGTTGAGCCTGAGCCTGTTTCTCCCCATCCAGATCCGTACGGCCTCCAGGCACTGGGACATCATTTCAAGGGCATCATTGGGGTGGTCCGGGGTGGAGATGTACAGCTGAGTGTTGTCAGCGTACTGGTGGTACTTCACCCCGAAACCATGGATGATCTCGCCCAGCGGCTTTACATAAATGTTGAACAAAAGGGGCGAGAGGACCGACCCTTGTGGCACTCCACATATGAGGGGCCTCAGGGTCGACCTCTGCCCCCCTGCCAACACAGACTGCAACCAGTCGGAGAGAAAGGAGGAGAACCACCGCAACACAGTGCCCCCCACCCCTAACTCTTCCAACCGGTGCAGTATGATACCATAGTCGATGGTATCAAAAGCCACTGAGAGATCTAATAGGACCAGGACAGAGGAGCAACCCCTGTCCCGAGCCCTCCAGAGATCATCAACCAACGCGAACAATGCCATTTCCGTGATGTACCCAGGCCTGAAGCCCGACTGGAACGGATCCAGATACATCGTTTCATCTAGGTGCTGGGGGAGCCGTCGCGCAGCCACACTCTCAACAACCTTTGCCACAAAGCGAAGGTTGGAGATCGGACGATAATTTGCCAACACTGCCGGGTCCAGGGAGGGCTTCTTGAGGAGAGGCCTCACCACCGCCTCTTTCAAGGCGGCGGGGAAGTCACCCTCACCCAATGAAGCATTTATAATCCCCTGGAGCCAGCCTCGCGTCACCTCCCGGGAAGCCACCACTAACCAGGAGGGACACTGGTCCAACAAACATGTGGTCGTGTTCAGTCTTCCCAGAATCCTGTCCACATCCTCAGGAGTCACAGGATCAAACTCATCCCAGATAACATTCTCAAGACCTGCCTCAGTCATCCCCCCTGAAACTACCCAGTCGGAGTCCAGGTCTTCCCGAATCTCAGTGATTTTGTCATACAGATACTGTACAAAGTCCTCAGCTCTACCCTCCAATGGCTCTACCCTAGCCATCACTAGACCTGGGATAGAATATTTTACAAAGGAATGAAGCCACACCTTTTTTCATTGTACAATATATGACAATCGGCTTCCTATCTTAGTTTTGGTTTTAATTACCCATTGTCCTCTCCCCAGGTCCACAAATCTTCCCACTTGAAGGATTTCAGCTCTTCAAGACCTTTGGCTCCAATTATCAATTCTTGTGAGACTGACCTATTGTGATGTATCAATATGGGTTTTCTCCCTGCTTTCTCACTTGCCTGGGAAACTCATGCCTCTGGAGTTAAGTTGGGTTTAGTGCTTTGTTTAGCACTATGTTGGTACAAAATACAGTACATGTTTCTCAAATCATAATACCATGTTTCCCTGAAAATAAGACCCAACTGGAAAACAAGCCCTTGCATGATTTTCAGGATGCTTGTAATATAAGCCCTACCTTCAAAATAAGCCCCAGTTAAGATTGTCAGCCAGTATTATAACAAGACAATTTCTAGGTTGGCACTGCATAGTTATTTATTTGTTTAGATTTGCATGGCTGCCCACTTGAAATTCTAGGTGCTGAGTAGATAAAGGTAACAATTAAAACATTGACAAAACATATCACACCAGGAAAAACTCACCTATCCACATATACATTCTACATTCCTGAAAAACAAATTCATTACATGTTCTAGCTCAGAGCAAGTAAAATAAATAGAGCAGAAAACCTAGCTAT